ATGGATAGATAGATAGATGATAGATAGATAGATAGATAGATAGATAGATGGGTAGATAGATAGATGATAGATAAAATGTGTTTCTACTCAGCAGTGTTTTTAGTGCCTGTAATCCCACAGTTTCAGGAAAAGCCATCGTGTCTGGCCTTGAGGAAATGAGAAAGAAGGCCTGACATATGCTGAGCAGTATTTGCTAAGCGTTATACTAGCTGCTGTGGATGCCTTATTCACATTCTCACAAAGGCTGTCTCGGATAGGTAGGTGATATCTCTATATTAAATTTCTACTCAGCAGTGTTTTTAGTGCCTGTAATCCCACAGTTTCAGGAAAAGCCATCGTGTCTGGCCTTGAGGAAATGAGAAAGAAGGCCTGACATATGCTGAGCAGTATTTGCTAAGCGTTATACTAGCTGCTGTGGATGCCTTATTCACATTCTCACAAAGGCTGTCTCGGATAGGTAGGTGATATCTCTATATTAAAGATAAAGCATTATATTTCAGGGCTGGGAATGTAGCTTAGTGGTAGAGCACTTGCCAAGCATGTATGAGGGCCTGGCTTTAACCTTCAGCACCACAATTTTCTTTTTAAAAAAAAGAGAGAAATTAACTTTCAGGAAAGAATTACTCAGTCTGCACAAATATAGAGTCGTTACCTGGGCTAATCAGATTGTATTTGTCAAAAAGTTGAACAGAGAAACGTGAAGATGGTAAGAAGGTAGTCAAGTCAAAAGTAGAATAGGGCCAGCGAGACACCGAGGCAGATAAGGGCACTTGGTGCCAAGCCTGACAACCAGAGTTCAGTCCTCAGACCCTTACATCATGGAAGGAGAGAACTGATTCCTGAAAGTAGTCATCTGACCACACTGGGGCTATGGCATGTGCACACACCCACACATGCACACGTACACACAAAAACCACACACAATACATAAATATAAAAAACTTAAGCTGAAATGACATAGAAAAATGAAGAAACGGGTCTTTCAATACAGCAACCAGAAAACCAAACTGTGGCAAAAACCTGAGATAAGTCAACAGTTTGAGACACAGAGCTATCAAGCTTCTGGCCCCTGGGAATCAGGAGAGCACAGAGAGGAGCGAGAACTGAGATATCAGGACATGTCCCTGCAAGAAAGGGAGGCTGTCTGTGTTTATTGTTGTTGTTGTTGTTGTTGTTTTTATTTTAAAATATTTTATTAGCATTGCTTTATTTAAGAAATAACATGATTACATTGAAAAACTTCGTACAGGTTGGAGAATTTGGAAAGGGAGAAAATGGCAAACTCACATTTTAGCTACAGTAACAAATTTCACAGTATTGTTGAAGCTTGATAGTACAGTTTGGTCAGTACATAATATTAAAAAATAATAGAATTGCAAATTTACATTCTAACATATAATTACATATTTTTAGTTTGAGGAGTATGTAAGTGTATTTTAAGGAATTTGATATCATTTATGTTCTTGAAAAGATTACACAGACTAAACACAGAGAATGGATTAGAGGAGGGATGGTGCATTCAGAGGCTTCTCTGGCCTACTTGGACAGAGCCTAATGGTGATGGTAAAAAGGAGGAGAAAGGCTTCACAGTGGATTGAGTAGGTAAGGATGGGGGTCCGGGGTCACCGCACATTTCTCAGTGTGCTGCCATGCACAAGGTGACAGCACTAACAGAGGACCGACTTCTGGAAAGACATCGTGGCTTTACTCAGTATCTCCCCTCACTACACAGTAAATAATTGCGGGATTGGAGAGTCATCATAGCGTAGTCGATGAGCAATCAGTGCCAGGGAAATCAATCCTTTATGACGGGACAGACAGCATCATGCCCCTTCCCCAGCCAGCTGAGTAAAGACGGCAGCTCTGAAAACTCACATGCGCAGCCAAGGAAGTAGGGGAAAGCAAGAGAAGCAGCCTCTGTGAGCAGGTACACGTGGGCAATGATCATTCACCTGGACACTAATGCTGCCAGAGGGGTAGGATGGGGCCCGAGTAAACTTAGAGGCAATAAGGGATGGAGCAGAAGAAAAACGGCTTAGTCACCAACAAAGAAGATCAGACGCATTATTATGTGACAGAAGCTATAACAATCAAAATTATGAAAGGCTTTTGTTTTATGTTGTGTCTGAGGAAGCGCAGCCAGGGTAAGAGAAAAAAGAAGATGGAGAGAAAGAGTAGGCATATTAATATGGATATCATTACGCTGGATATAAATTTTAAAAGAACAGCACTAAATTATTTGAAGTGAAAGGAAAACTATGAGGAGAAGGGTTGAAAACGTGAAGAGAATAAGCCCGTGAGAGCGTAGAACCAAAGACAGGCTGAATTAATGTAAAGTGTAAACTCAATGGATGAGGAGTAAAGGCCAAGATAAATTACACGAGGTGAAAGCGGCTGCGGGAGCAGGGAGAGGAAAGACCAGAAACAAACAAACCAAAATCAGATGCAAAAGCCACGTGGAGCCATAGAAACAGGTGACAAAAATTAAAATGTTTTTAATCCTTTTATAAAAAAATCAAAACCCCACAGAACTGTAAGAGTCAAGGATCCGACATGAAGCAAGAGGCACGCAGCGTCGTTATGAAAACTAAATGTGTTTTCTGTTTAGTTGGGATGCTTTGTGAATCTGGAACCATTTTGACATGTGGAAATATTCATTTTGATGTGCTTAAAGTGTATTGATTATGGTAATTGTTTTTTCTGTGTTAGTTGCAGTCCATTGTGATTTCCTATGGGCTACTGTAATTGCTTTTTAACCTGCTCTGTTGCCTAATTTGGTTTGGGGTAGTCAAGGTGACCTTTGAGTGTGAGACTCAGTATAATTACCAGGAGGGAGAATCAAAGTCTGGTCTAAAAGAAATGGATAAAAGCAAGGCACTCGTGCACCCCAGAGAGTTGTGCCCAGCACCCTATGTGGAACGCAGAGGTATGAAGAAGTAGCGTCACTTTTGCCACTCACTGAGGACTGGCTTCCTGTTCCAGCAGGCATGGACTTTACAATCCTTCTGTAGCTTCCTACTCTCACCTACCTTAGAGGAAGAGGAAGCACCTCCGGGTCTGTGGTCTCTGCACTCCTTTGCCTTTCCACCCACTGCTCTGTTTTCCTTATGTGAAATTCTCAGAATTCCCATAGAATATTGTTTGTATTTGGGAGTCATCTATCAGTTTCACCTGTGAGCTGTCCTGTCGCACTGAGTTGCCACCTGAGTCTGTGACCATCTCTGCTATTTCTGTTTTGCAGGGTGAGTTGGCAATCAAATAAAAAACAATTTTGTTTGAAAACAGTCCCAGTGTACCTCGCATTGAGGTCATCTATAGTGTGTTTCTCTTGCCATTCTGTCCATTATATCAAATGTTAGTGAATGTCCTATCAACAGCTACCGTTTATTGAGCTCTTACTATCAAGGAAACAATGATATGAGTCAAGTACTATACTTGGAAATCCTAAAAACAGCCACATGAGGAAACTACCATCTTGATCCCCGTTTATAAAGGAAATGAAGGCTTGAGAAGGGAGAGAAGGTCACCAATGGCAGCTCACTGCTTCTTCCCTGGGAGCAGAGTTACACTTCCTTGACCAAAAACTGTAACACTGTACTATCAAACCTAACCCCTGTAACCAAGCATTAGATATTTGAAGTCACTGTCTCAACCCACAGTGACACTTTAAAACATCACCTGGCATTCTTTTTCATGACCCAACATGACCAGTTTCATAGGCGAAATGACATCATTGCAAATAGGTCCTCTAATTCTGAGTGTTTTACATGCTCATGTCTTCATAAAATATTTCAGATAGAATTCAAGGCTCCTGGGGGCTGGAGAGATGGCTTAGCGGTTAAGAGTACTGACTGCTCTTGCAGAGGGCCCGGGTTCCATTCCCAGCACCCACATGGCAGCTACGAACCTTCCTTAACTCCGGTTCCAGGGGAATTCGACATCCTCCTCTGACCTCCACGGCATTGCACGACATGGGTGCAGTCACATACATGCAGGCAATACACTCATACACATAAAATAAAATAATAATAAAATATTTTTTTAATTCAAGTCTCCTTTGTTCCTTTTCTCAAGCCATTTTCCTTCCCTCTCTAAAAGCAGCTACAACAATGAATTTAGAGTGGTGTTTGGGATATATTTTATTTGTTTATTTTATTTATTTCATTGTTATTATCATCATCATTATTATCTTTTTTTCAGTCCTGGGGATTGAACCCAGGGCCTTACACATAGTAGGCAAGTGCCTTACCACTGACCTACAACCTGGATCTTTTACTGTTTTCATACCTAATCATTGCAAATCTGTGCATCTGTAAAAACTATGTAGTATTTGAACTTGTACTTTTACAATTTATGTAAATGTCAGTGTGCTCTTCACATACTCTGAGTTTGCTTTACTTCATTCCACATTTTTGAGACCTATCTACTTAGAGATTTTCTTCATTTAAGTTCACTGTGGTATATGAATTGTCCTCTGATTAAAATTTACTTGGAGATGAAGACACATATTGCAGAAAGATTGCCTTGAATTGTTCTTTGTGAAAACCTCTCACCGGAAGAGCTGTCTGCCATCTCTAATTTGAAGAATGGGCGAGGTGTCTTTCAAGTGTGAGCTACAGCTCTGAGGTAAAAGCATCTGGTCTAGGCTGCAGTAATCTGTGCTGACTGGGTGAGGGATGAGGAGTGGCTTTAAAACACAATTATGCGTCGAGCATGTGCTCTTGAAGATGCCATGGCTCCCTCCCGGCAAGATCCTGTCATGCTGGTGTTGATGGCTGTATCCCTCTGCGATGGAAGAAACAGTACCAGAGCAGACAAACATCTCTTCAGTGTTTGTCTGATACACAGATAAAGACTTGGGTCTCAGTGTTCCCTCTGTAGTTGATGAACATTTGTTGAACACCAACAGTGAACTAGACATAGGAAATGCAGCTGCTTGCAATATCATTTCCATCTAAGAAGGAGCCTTGCTGAGTTTTTCTGTCTGTTTTTTATTAAAGGTCCACACACGTTCCTGTTGGGGAAGATCAAGTCCAGCACATGGAACTAGTTCAAGATCTAGCTCGGGGTTTCAACAAAAAGTATGGGGAGTTCTTTCCATTGCCCAAGTCCATCCTAAGTAAGTAACAAACATGATTATAAAATCTGGCCATATTTTAAAGAGAAGGCTAGATAATAGACAGAGGCTTGGAACTTCATTGGGAAGAAACTTGGCCTTCCCAAGGACAGACTTCAGGATTTGTAACTGAAATCCTTGTTGTTTGGGGTCATGTGGGACTAATGGATAGTATTGGGTTTTAGAAAAGATGAATGTTTGTGAAATATGGGAGAAACTGAAAAATCATAGTTTTAAGTTCTGAAATATACAATTCAATGGATTATATGTAGAAAATAACATTTTCTTTGGTAGAGCAAATATCTTCCCATTTTACACATAAGCAGATTAAGATACAGCAAGGTTCACAGTATGCCTAAGTCATGTGATAGCTGATCACAGCGCTGGGTCCTTTCAGTTCTTTTGACCCCAAAGCCATGCACCTTGCCTTTCTAAACATTCACAGTGAAACATAAGTCAGAAGAATGAGAACTTTGGAATCATGATTCAGACAAAACAAGAGAGAACTGATCTTTATACTCTGTTTTCAGAAATGAACAGGAGAGATGGGATATACAGTCCAACTGTCATGTCAGCCTCAGCCTCTGACTCTATGCTAGGGCATCCCATACATTGACATCTACCGTATTTCATAGCAATTAGTAAGATTTTAACGTTTGACTTATTTTTTATATTTCAACTTTACCCCCTTCTCCAGTAACAAGGCAGTTATTAGTAACACCCATTTATTAAGCAAAGCTTAACATCTTGTTTCTCTCTGATAAACAAATCACTTGTCCATGTGTGTATGTTGTGTAAATGTGTGTGTATATAAATACACTTTTGTATCATTATGGAGAGATTGCCACAGATTGTTAAGATTGGTTGAGAAGCAGGAAAGGGATGGTGTAGGCAGGGAGTGATTATTAATGGAGAAGAGCAGAGAAGAGAGGAAGAAGAAAGAAATTCACTTTTTATAAAAGTGTACACCAACACACACAAGTTAGCTGGGTTTGGTGGTACTCACAAGCCTATAATACCAGTAGTCACAAGGTGGAGACAGAAGGAACAAGAAAGAGTTCAAGGTCAGCCTTAGCTATGTAGGCAAGTTTGAGGACAGCTTGTGCTACATGAGAACCTGTCACAAAAAGAGAGAAGGGGGGACAGAGGGAGGGAGTGGGGAGGGAGGGAAGGAGGGAGGGAGGGTAGGAGAGAGAGAAAAGGGGGGAAGGAGGGGAGGAA